GAGACTAACAAATTTATTAGAGCATGAGCTTTCGTGGACTCCCGCCCACTTCTTCGCATCTGAAGAAGTGGGCTGTAGTCCACGAAAGCTTATGCTCTAATAAATTTGTTAGTCTCTAAGGTGCCACAAGTCCTCCTGTTCTTCTTTTTGCGGATACAGACTAACACGGCTGCTACTCTGAAACTGGACATTCAAAGCTTTCCTCAGCATGACTCAGGAAACACAGCAAGGCTATGGGCTGTTAATGAATGCTATTTGATACATTAGCCTTCAGGTGAAGCCCCACCGTTCAAATTACACTCAGGGTTGTGTTATTAACTTTGACTACGTTATCTGTGACAAAGATGCCACTGTAGGTCAGAAGCCAGAGCACGGCATTCAGGGAGAAGATGTGGTAGACAAAGAGTTTACATGCCTTTGGAGCACGCGATTGTGTTTAATCAGAACAGCTTCGTATAACTGTTTACTGCTAATTTATCATCTTCCAATTCAAAGCTCACCAGCAACCTTTGGCCATGACCTAGCATCCCATCCCACATGGCGTTATTGTAAGGAAATGTGGGAAGGAACGTATTTAAAACATACATTTCACCAAGGGACATGCCTGAGCCATATTCAGAGGGGATGCAAGTTATGTGTTGTTAAGTGGATGTAACTGAGTGACAGAGTCTAAGGGCTAAAGTAGTTCAAGAAGTAGATCACCTGTGGGTACCAGTGGGTGTGAAAGTGCCTCTCTGACCTCTCTCTTTTGCGCAGAGGAATGTGTAAGGCTAAAGGAAAAGGAAGAACCTCACAGAAGTCAATGGAGCGAGAATGACCTAAAACCAGAGCGACGGAAGGCAGAGTCGGGCCTATTGCGTTTAGACTTAGTTGACTATTATCGTATATTCATGCACGAGTAATCGATGCCCTTACCTGCCGATTCAGCCGGATGGACAGGATGTTGCTGGAATAGCTATAGTTGCAGATCTCTGTCCCTTTTTTGAAGTGATAGACGTTCATTTGCCGAGGCTTGGTGTGACTCACCACGACCACCAGGCTGCTGGAGAAGAGGCGCTCCACGATGTAAACATCCGGGATTTCATCTGCTCAGCCAAAAGAAAGTGAGGCGGCTGCTTTCATCTTGGGTCTGGCTCTTTAAGAGTCAAATCCCCCATGCATTGAGCCTAGCTCAGGAGCTGAAGGGTTTAGTGCTTAGTCATGGAGTTCTGCTTTTATTAACGATTACCCTTCCTTGGCATGGCTGCATCTAGGCCTTCTGCTGGGGGGTGCACTGGGCCCAGACAGGAAGGGGTTGATTGGTCTTTCCTTTGGGGACAGGAACTTAGTGCCTGCAATACCTGCCACAAATGACTGACCTCTCTTGGGCCCTCCAGCTGTAGTTAATCAAGAGGGAACAGGATATAGAGGGGAATGAGCCCTGCCTCCCAGGTGTTGACCTTAATCCAGGGAAATACATGCCCTGGGAGGGAGCTAGAGAAGCTCCTTACAGGGGTAGAGATGAATCTGTGAGCGGACAGATCAGGACTCCCTGAGACACGGGACAAGCAGGGCATAGACTTATTTCCTGTAAGTACATGCTGCACTGTTCTGGGCTCCCTGAGGAAGGGGATGGCCTAAAGGAAGATAAGACATAGGATATTCTCTTCCTCCCCAGTGACCATGGGCCATCATGGTACTTTGGCTGACTTTCTGTAAATCTAGAGCAGTGGTTCTCAAACTTTTGTACTGGTGACCCCCTTTCACATAGCAAGCCTCTGAGTGTGACCCCCGCCCCTTATACATTAAAAACACTTTTTAATATATTTAACACCATTATAAATGCTGGAGGCAAAGTGGGGTTTGGGGTGGAGGCTGACAGCTCGCGATCCCCCCAGGTAATAACCTAGTGACCCCCTGAGGGGTCCCGGCCCCCAGTTTGAGAACCCCTGATATAGAGGGCTCTTTCTCTTACTACCACAACCCCTCCTCCCCAATACACCCAGATAACCTGGGAGAAGTTCCTCCTTTTTCACTCTAGCTGCAGGCAGCGAATATTCTACGTGATCCCTGCACTGACCCACACGGAGGGCAGGCCTATGCTAGCTCCAATCTTGTTTAAATGCTATTCTTGTGCTTGACCTGGATTACAATATTTTAAGTGGGGTGTAAAAACAACAGGCAACTCTGGAGATAGCAAGGTTCTAGTATGGGCTCTCTAACTAGCATGGATCAGGATTGTCCCCCTAAAGTATGCCAGCCAGCCTAACATTGTCACTTATACCATTTGGGGGACCCTGTTACAACAGTGTAGTCTGTGACACTATTAGGACACTCTTCCAGCTGCCAGTGTTAGTGGAACCAAACTGCATTTCTGAAGGCTGCAGAAATCTAAGATTATAGCCCGTTTCAGGAACACTGTGTGGTTCCAGCTATGCTGTGAGACTGAAATATCTCTCTATCTGTTGGGACTACCATGTTTCTAGGAGGTGGCCCCCAATCTGGTTGACAAAATAGTATAATTTGACATAGGGCCTTGGGTGGCCTATGCAGGACTTCAAGGTCTTAAACCACGTTGGCTGATCTATTTGGCAGATCAGTATGCATAAGGCTACATTGTGTTCTAACAAGGTTAACGGGCTTTAGCAGAGCATCTAGGTTAGAGCATTTTTTAAATCTAACCGATAATGTAGTCTGATCTTAGCAAACAAAACTGCATTATATACAGTTTGGCAACAAAAAAGCTGCTCAACAGAGTCAAGCCCCTTGCAGATAGGGATAGCTCAGTGGTTTGAGCATTGGCCTGCTAAACCCAAGGTTGTGAGTTCAATCCTTGAGGGAGCCATTTAGGGATCTGGGGCAAAAATCTGTCAAGGATGGTACTTGGTCCTGCTGTGAAGGCAGGGGACTGGACTCAATGACCTTTCAAGGTCCCTTCCAGTTCTATGAGATAGGTATATCTCCATATAAATAAGATGGGTCCCTAAAAGAGAAATCCTGGTAGCATACCTTATTCTTAATATCAAATTCAGGTAGACGGCTGAAGTTTCATGCCTGAAACTTACTGATCCTAAAGGAAGTATTTGCATTTAAGTCTTCTTGTGTCTGCAACTCAAACTTGGTTGTATTGAGCTAACCTATAGGAACTGAGATATGAAACTACCAGAAAGCAAGACTGACTAGTGTCTTCTCTTCATGCAGTCTGAACAATGGAAAGCGTGAACTAACAACCTAATGGTGAAAAGTGAATTGGCTCTTAAATGCTCAGGTCTAATACCATTGTAGGTTAAGAATGTGTTTCCAATTGACTGTTTTCTTTTTTTAACCTGACGTCCCTTTAAACAGAGCTGTAACTAGCACAGCTCTACTCCAATGAGGATACAGTAGAGGCAGATACCATCTGTGCTACAAGTAGGAAAGCTAACCAAATGAATTGCTCCTTTGAGGCAGATCACAAGTGCAGTAATAAAAACTAAAGCCTATCATCATCCAATATCCTGCTGCCCAAGACAAAACAGACTTACTGTTTTCATGGACTTGGTCCAACTGTTCCACAGAACTTAGGGAGAAAAGCCTGTATCCAGTTTTGGTTCCGATGGCCAGGGAGCTTCAAGAGACAAAATGTGTGCTGATTAGTTTATAGTGTACTGCTCTAATCTTGAAACCACTGAGTATCATTAGAAAAATTAGTAGATCCTAATACAATGCATCATTTACAGGGAGCCACTCCGCTGGTCATATATGCAAATTTCAACCCAAAGCAGATACAACTGTCCACCCCAGTAGCTGGGGTTTTTTCTGACTGTTGGGTGCACACAACAGGGTGCCTTAATAGCAATTTGCATGTGAGGCTGATTAATTAACATTTGTAAAGCTAATGCAGAATACCTTGAGAGGATTCAATAATCCTATTTCACAGCAGGAAAAAACTGAAGTATACTGGGGCCATACCCTGCCATCTGGCTTTTAAGTGAAGTCCCTACTAACTTCCTTGATAAATTAATGATTATCAACTATATTAACTTGAGCATCATTACTAAAGCTGTGTGAGAACTTCCATACATATAAAAAATCTCCAAAGCCTGCTAGGGGGAGGGAAAGGGAATAATATACTTGTTAGGCTACCAATAAAGACTTCTAGCCAGCAGAAGCAAGACCCTTCTCTGACTCCAATTCATCTAAGATGAGAGACTGTCTTTAGATGTCTATCTAGAAATACTGGAGTTTTGGGAGGGCTGTGTACGCCTCGCTGGTTTGCTTGCTGCCTCCAGGACACCCAGAAAGATAATGATGCACCAGAGTATGTAGAAGAGTATGTGCGCAAAGTGCTGGCTTATTCTTTCCATGCAGACTTGTTCTAGCCAGATCTTGGCTAAGGTCATTGTCAACATCTAAGTTTAAATCAGCAACCAGTTTAGAACATCACAGACCAAGGGAGAACAGTGAAGTATTTGTACAGTGTAGCCACATCAGAAGCACATCACCAACTCCATCCAAGCACTCTTTGTTCAAATGCTTAGTAACTGGAAATGTACGATAGCAGCGCAAATGTAACAATAGAACTCATTTCTTTCAAAATCTCTGTAGAAATATTGGTATCTATACCTTCCTTGAGTACATAAATAAGGATATCTTAGCAACTGACTTTGGTCTTGTAGTAAAGGGCAAGTGAACTGGTAGAACGCAACCCATGTCTCTTAAAGTGAAACTTCTCTTAAGTGACCACCCAAGGACCCAGTAAAAGTTGCTCTCTAGTAGACAGTCAAACCACAGGTTAAGCAAAACTGTATTTGACACTATTTAATGGAGCTAGCTACTTTATTAGAAGAATTGCCAAGAAAGCTCCCTCTTTGGGGGTGCCCCATGCAGGGACAGCTACTGGTGATTGGTACCAGACATTTACCAAGAACCAAGGCCTACCCTTGATGGCAGATATCCAGTTAACTGCAGAATAGATCATTCAGTTCTCCTGCAAGCTAGTGTTCTAGCAACTACAGAACACATTCAGTTTTCCATAAATACCTATGCATAAGAATACATCCACTGGTGGATTAAACCACTAGGAAAACCAACCGCCCCACTCCTGCAAAACTTGTTATGCTATTTGCAATAGGTTTGAGCTACTTAGGGAGACTCATGGTTGAGATGGATTATTAAATACTAGGAATACTGTTCACATTTTTGCCTCTTCTAAAATGTATTGGAGACTATGCTCAAGTCTAGTGGCTACAAAAGCAGACTGTTAGACCTAGGCTTTATTTCAGCCTGATATTTAACTCACTAGGTGAAGTTGGCAGAGACACTTGCTGTGCCTCAGTTTCCCTATCTGTAAATTGGAGATAGTATTCACCCTGCCTTGGAAAGCAGTAAGATCACCTGATGGAAGCTTCACTTAGCATGCTACCACACAAGTCATCTTGCCAAGAAATAGTTCATAACTGAACAACTATTTAAATGCCCATTTTGCCAATAAACGTGCACTGAATGGCTCTAAGAAAAAAGCGGGGGCAAAAACTAAGGCTCACATAATCTCTATAGGCATCCAGATGTTGCCATTACAGCTCTGCACAATTAATATCAATGTAGCTCATGACCAGTCAAGCCCTGAATGCACAACAGTGACACTAAGTGAGGAAAGCACAAACTGGTAAAGCAGGAAGTGTGATGTGTGATGGGATTAAACTCCAGTGCCCTAACTATATCAGATTGCAAAGGGCACAATCATATGTTGTGTCATGTAGGCACTCACCCATACAACGATGCTTTGTGCACTGCCACAGACACATGGCCCTGGGTGTGTAACAAGTATACTGTGCAAGGAGTTCAACTTTCTATCCCCTCAGCTGGAATGTAAATAATTGGGCAGCATAAGGGGCCCGATCCCATGAAATGCCTTGTGGCCAATGTGCAAGAACCTTAGGGTGCCCAGCACCTTGCAAGACTGGGCCCAACACAAGAAGTGGTTTGGCTCTACAAGAAGGAAGGCTGCTTGTACTGAAGGCGAGAGGGGAGCTGAACTGGAGTGAACTTGCACGCCAACAGCCAGATATCCCCATGGGCCGAGGCTCAAACATGGGCCAGATGAATATTATTGGTACAGAAAACTTCAACAACAGCACTGACAGCTCTGGCACAACCGACCCTTTCTATAAGCTCAGTGTTCAGGCTCTGCCATGCTGGGGCCAACTCTTTCTCAACAGAAGAGCTGCTCCTGTGTGGGACAGAAACTGAGTTGATGGGACCCGGCACAAGCTGGAAAGCCTGAGAGGCAGCAACAATCAGCTAAAGCCCAGCCTGGTTAGTCAGACTCAAGGCTGCCAGGACCAGCTTGAATTGGCCTGGAAACCACAGGTACATGAGCCAGCCAGGGAGAGACAGCTGCCTCTTTGTTCCCGTTCCAGGGCAGCTGCCCTGCCACAGGGCCAAGCAGGGGGATCTCCCTCCCCTCCTCTGGGGACAAGTCAGGGCCAGTGCCCTAGCCCGGATGGCTCTCTTCCCCTGCCCCATTCTCTCCTTTATCCCCACCTGACTCCTGCCCTCCACCGTATCCCCTGCACGCCTCCGGCCTTCTTCCTCCCCTTCCCCCATCCCATCTCCACCGAGTCCCCTGCATGCCTCCCACCTTCATTCTCTCCATCCCCTCTTCTTCTTCCTCCCTCCCCATCTCCACCGAGTCCCCTGCATTCTCTCCTTCCCCTCCTCTTCTTCCTCCCCTTCCCCCATCCCATCTCCACCGAGTCCCCTGCACGCCTCCTTCCTTCATTCTCTCCCTCTCCTTCCCCCCTTCTTCTTCCCCTCCCCATCTCTGCAAGTCCCCTGAGTCCCCTGCACACCTTGGGCCTTATAGATTCATAGATTCTAGGACTGGAAGGGACCTCGAGAGGTCATCGAGTCCAGTCCCCTGCCCGCATGGCAGGACCACCTTCATTCTCTCCTTCCCCCCTCTTTTCTCCCCCCATCCCTCTCCTTCCTCCCCTTTTTTTCTCCCTCCCCATCTCCACCAAGTTCCCTGCATACCTCCTTCCGTCATTCTCTCTCTCTCCTTCCCCTCCCCATCTCTGCGAGTCCCCTGCACATCTCGGGCCTTCATTCTCTCCATCCCCTCTTCTTCTTCCTCCCTCCCAATCTCCACCAAGGCCCCTGCATTCTCTTCTTCCCCTCCTCTTCTTCCTCCTTCCCTCCCCCCTTTCCTTCTTCCTCCCTCCCCATCCCCTCTCCTTCCTCCCCTTCCCCTTTTCTTCCTCCTCCCCATCTCCACCGAGTCCCCTGCACTCCTTCCTCCTCTTCCCCCTTCTTCTTCTTCTTCCCCTCCCCTTGCCCATCTCCACGAGTCCCCTGCACCCCTCGGGCCTTCTTCCTCCTCCCCTTCCCCCTCTTCTTCTTCCTCCCTCCCCATCTCCACCGCGTCCCCCGCCGGCCGCGCCTACGTGCAGTCCTGGTTGTAGGAGAAGCAGCTCAGCGCCTCGGGCCCCGCGGCCTCGGCCGGGCCGGCTCCAGCTGCGGCCTCCATGGGCGGCGCGCGGACGCCCGGGCCTCGCTCGCGCTCCGGCCTCGCTGGCTCCCCGCGGGCCCGGCCAGCCGCCACAACAACAGCTGGAGCCCCCGGCGGGCGGGGCCGCACCCGCCTGAGGCCTCCTATTGGCCAACGGGAGTTCGGACCAGCCACCCCGCCCGCCGCCGGTCTGGATTCGGCCTATCGCGTGCGTGTCTGGAGGGGGAGGGCGGGGCAAAGGAGGAACGCCCCGCCCCTTCGGCCAACAGGGCTGGCTGTGATTGGCTAGAGGAGAGGAGCGGCTGCCTATGGCCACGTGGTTGTGTTGTGGTTGCATCAGACGGGACTCCTGACAGATGTGATGTGGGGGGGAGGGGTTGGGGCAGGGAACAGCTGGAAGGGAGGGAACAGCTGGGCTGGGCCCTAACCCCTCCTGGCTGCCGGCTAGCTAAAATGAGTGGCTTGGACTGCTTGGATTATATCTATATATTAACTAAAAAGAAGAACAGGAGTACTTGTGGCACCTTAGAGACTAACAAATTTATTTCAGCATAAGCTTTCGTGGACTACAGCCCACTTCTTAATTCTGTACTTCCCCTTCCCATGCACCAAGTCTTTAGCAATTAGTGTCCCAACCAAAATCAGGCCCCTCCATTGTGCTAGGCACTGTACAAACATATAGTAAGCCAGCCCAGATCTGGAAGAGCTCCTGATCTTGCAAAGACTGAAGTGTGGGCTTGATTTACTACCCTCGAATAGTCCTTCTAAAGTCAATGGGAGTAGTTGAAGTGACTAGACCCAGACAAATAAAGGGCAGGAGAAAGGGAGTAATACTTTGATCTACATTTCGCTAAGGCACAGAGAGATCTATGGCCGATCTGAGAAGCAAACCCAGAGCTCCTGAGTCCCAGTCCACTGCCTTAAAACAAGCTCATCCTTTCCCATCATATAAGTAATCCCTAATACTTTAAAGTCCTTGGATGAAAGGTGCTGTAGAACTGCCTAGTGTTTTGCGAACCTTGTGGCCCAAGCCCACCAGCACTCATACAATGTGAATAACTTTAGTCGAGCAGCCAGTCCTACTGAAATCGTGTAGGAATGAACCTATTCATGTCACACGTAGGTCTAAGCCTATTAATTAGAAAACACCAAGTAAAAGGAAAACATGCTCCTAAATCACAAATGTTCTAAAAGTTAATATAACTAAACTAACGGTTAAGTAAACAAGTGTATTGAAACTTGAGGGCAGATCCTGCAAACCCTTAATTAGATGAGTAATCCTCATGTGAGTGCTACAGTCAATGGGAATGCTGTATGTGTAAGGATAACATCAGAGTATTTGTTGTAGGTACGTGATCATACGGCTATAGGACATGGCTCTGATCCTGAAAAGGGATCCACAGAGTCCCACCAAAGTCAGTTGGACTCCATGTGGACATAAGTATCTACCTGGATGAATCCCTTTTCACAGGATCTAGGCCCTTGTTATAGAAATCTCTTTTGTTCCAGTATTTTAGAATTAAAGACCCACAAACATGTCGGGATTATCAGTCTCTGGCAAAGTGCGTATTTTAGGAAAAGTGTTTCTGTTAAAACAAATAGTTCCAAATTAACCCTATTTCTGAGCTCATACTGACATGGGTTTGGTCCTCAGTCCAGTGAAGTTGATGGCACATGGTTCTAATGCACAATGCAATGTGACTAAGTGATTAAGGGTATGTCTACACTAGGAACACTACAGCGGTACAGCTGCAGCCTTGCAATGTAGACACTTACCACAGCGACGATGGAAGAATTCTTTCCTCGACCTAGCAGTATCTACACTGGGGCTTAGGCAGGGGTGAAAGTAATATGAAACACTTACTGGTACAGGGGCCCGGCTTCGGGCCCCCAGAAGGGGCAGGGCCTCTGGCGGAAGAGATGGGGCCTCGGGTGAAAGGAGCGGGGCTGGAGGTCAGCCTACCCCAGCCAGTCCATCCGCACTGCCTGGCCCATGCCGCTCGGGCTCCGTCGGTGATTTAAAAGGGCCTGGGGCTCCAGCTGCTGCCACAGTAGCAGTGGCCGGGAGCCCCGGGCCCTTTTAAATCACTGGCCCTGGGGCAGCTGACCCTTTTGCCCCCCATCGGCGGCCCTGCCGGTAAGGTCCTGCTGGTAGGGTCCCTACTGGCATGGCCGCCAACGGGGAGGCAAAAGGGGCCGTATACAGGCCGGTACTGGCTTCTTATCGGTATGCCATATCAGCCCCTACCAGCCTACTTGTACCCCTGGGCTTAGGTTGACTTAATTTACATCACACACAGAGTGAAATTTTTCACAGCCCTGAGCGATGTTTTAGGCTGAACTAACTTTTGTAGTCAAGTATCAAATCGGTAGCTGTGTTAGTCTGTATCCACAAAAACAACGAGGAGTCCGGTGACACCTTAAAGACTAACAGATTTATTTGGGCATAAACTTTCGCAGGTAGAAAAACACCTCTTCAGATGCAGGGTTTTTTTTAACTTTGTAGTATAGAACTAATTTGCAAACATATCAGGGGGAACAGTTGAAATTAAGAGATTTGCAGGAAAACACTTCTATTAATATTAAACCTTTTAAAAACAAAATGTAAAAGCTGGTCTTATATTACCTGCTATTGTCCATAAAGTTCAAGCAGTACTTGTTGATGAAATATTAATGTCCAAAGAAGAGTCGAACCTGAACAGATGAACGTCATGCCTATTTTAAGGAATTTTGTCTGATTAGCCCCTATAATTGAAAGCGTGCTGTTTGGGGTAGTAATAATAAAATTACCCATAGACAGGTTTTTAAAATCCAGCCACAAGAGCAACTGAGACTTGTGTAATACAAGTTGTAACCATACTTATATTTTGCCATCCAACACTGTTGCAACAGTATTGACCAATCTTCTTTGCAGCTAGCTGCCTACAGCTAGTATTTAACCTCTGAGGTGAAGACATACTATGCTCCCCTTAATGAAGGGAGTGTTGGAAAATACCACGAACTCTGAACAAACATCAAACATAGCTGAGTCAGACTTAAGGCAAGGGTTTTTGATAGATTGTTTTTGGAGATTAGGGGCTGTGTCAGAGATGCAGGGCTAACAGCGCTCTAGCCCCCTTTCTGGCCTCTGAGTGCACCCATCACCAGTGTTGAGCCTTTACCTTTCTTTGGGTGTGTAATCATATGATTCTTCCATTCTTAGACTGGGTGCTGGGCTACAGTACCCTTTGTGTCGACCATGCTCACCCAGTAGGTCTGACTGGGTATTGGTTCTTGTCATTTTGCCCTTTGGGAGCTTGTGATCAGTGGATTAGTGACCCAAACCAGCTTTCTTTAAACAGAGCATAGGAAAAAAAGATTTTAAAACAACAAAAGGTCTACATGCATTCTTATGTAGAGTCTCCCTGTCCTCCCGATGGGAACCCCAGTAGATCTAACTTCCCTCAGGGCTCCACTCAGCAAGCTCTGGGATCTTATTCTCTAAAACTCGTCTCTGTCCTTGAAGGAGGATGTGTCTCTTTAAACCCTTTGAGATTCTTAGATCCTCCTTTCCACAGGGTCCAAGCTGCTTCTGGAAAAACTGGTCTGGCATGTGACGTTGCACTCCATATGTTTTATGGAAATATGCTTATGAGTGTGACTATGATGCAACTGGAATATGCTTTATGCAAAAGGTCTCTTGTAAGGTATCATCAGGGCCGGATCTAACTTTTTTGCTGCCCCAAGCAGCAAAAAAAGCGACGCCCTGCCGAGCACCCCCCCCGGCCGAGTGCCGCGCTGCCCGGAACCCCCCCGAGCGCCGCCGCCCCGCGCTCGCCCCCCCCGCTGAGCGCTGCGCCACCGGAGCCCGCCACCCCGGCCGAGCCCCACGCCGCGGAACCCCCCCCCGAGCACCGCGCCCCGCACGCCCCCCCCGCCGAGTGCCGCGTGGCCGGAGTCCACCCCCCCCGCCGAGCGCCGCACCGCACCGCCGGAACCCCTCCCTGATCGCTGTGCCCTGCACCGCCCCCCCCCAAGCGCCGCACGCCGCGTGCCGCGCCGCCCCCCGCTGAGCGCCGCGCCGCCGGAGCGCCCCCCCACGCGCGGAATGCCGCACCGCGCTGTCCCCCGCCACCCCAAAATTGGCCGCCCCTTACCAGGTGCCGCCCCAAGCATGTGCTTGGTTGCCTGGTGTCTGGAGCCGGCCCTGGGTATCATAACAAAGGTTATAACCTACTGAATATATTCCTCCTATTTGTATCATTTTTGTATCTGAAGCTAGAAATATGAAGTATAACTCTGAGGTCCTCTTGTAATTATGCAAAGTGTGGGCCATTAATGGTGGTTTAGAATCTTGATGGCTCCCATTGACTAACACAATTGGTTGTTAATGGCTCTGTTTTCTTGCAAACCTTCTTGTGTATGGGGGGAGGGCATCCCTGGAAGAATGGAGGCTGGGGTCTTACAGTGACATGTGACCATGTCACATGATACTGGAATCCATCTTAAATCTGGTACTTTTCCATTTAGAAGGAGGGATGGGGACCCAGAGAGACAAAAGATTCCCACCTTGTGCCAAAGTTATAAAAGGGGGTGGACAGGAGAAAGGGGTCCCAGTCATGAGAATACTCCTGTTTACCACCTAAGACCTCTGCTGAAACTAACAAGGACTGTACCAGGGGAAAGGATTGGGCCCAGACTCGGAAGGAGTCTAATCTGTGAAAGAAGCTTATTGGAACATCTCTGAGGGTGAGATATTATTACCTATAATCAGTTTCTTAATGTATTAGGCTTAGACTTGCATGTTTTGTTTTATTTTGCTTGGTGACTTACTTTGTTCTATCTGTTATTACTTGAAACCATGTAAATCCTACTTTTTATACTTAATAAAATCACTTTTGTTTATTAATGAACCCAGAGTAAGTGATTAATACCTGGGGGAGCAAACAGCTGTGCATATCTCTCTATCAGTGTTATAGAGGGTGGACAATTTATGAGTTTACCCTGTATACGCTTTATATAGAGTAAAGCGGATTTATTTGGGGTTTGGATCCCATTGGGAACTGGGTGTTTGGGTGCTGGAGAGGTAACCTGCTGAGTGGTTTTCAGTTAAAGCCTGCAGCTTTGGGGGCGTGGTTCAGGCCCTGAGTCTGTGTTGCAGCAGGCTAGCATG